CATACTGTTTGTATTCTGTATAAATAAACTGTTTTTAAATTGTTTAAAGTGTCATCACCAACGCTGATTGAAATACTCGATCTTTGGATCTGCAATAGTTTGAATTATTCGACACCCCATAATACAACCAGTTAATTGGTTCTATTGTTTACTGATGACTAAAAACTCCATAGAATCAACGCGGATAAGTATGGCTTTAAAAAGCAATCTTTTATTCATCCTAATGGCAGGGAAAATTGTTTATAAATGATGCCCAAAGTTTATATAATTTGGATATTTATAAAATGGAAAACAATATAAAACTACATTTAGAAAATTGCTATACAAAACGACTGATTTGAACTACTAGAAATTAAGCACTTGAACAGTACAGTTACATCTCTGCCGGCGCAGATCTTTAGGTGAACTACTAGCGACAACTATTAGACAAGTACTCTGGCAAACCTTGTGCACTGAACGGCTTGCCTGATTCCGTTGGAAAGTAATTGTGAGCGTTTGATCGCTCATATATCCCTACATGCTTTTTACCTTTGAGACAAGGTTATTAAACTATTATGTTTCTTTCATGTTTGTACGTTTACCGGTGGTTCAAGGTGGGTTCTAGCAAAGAGTGCATGTGATCCCTGCTGAACCATTCTTTTCCAAAAACCAGTGAGGTATCTTGTAACAGTCGAGAAACGAGAATCGAGCTCAGACCGCTGGCGCTGAGTTCATTATAAAAAAGATGACTGTTCGCCATTTGAACTGAATTGTATTGTATATTTTTGCATAGCAATTCTACTTCAACAGAAAGGCAAAAAAGAAGGATAAAAATGACCCAAGCTTACAGCGCAACCCAACAAGCTATAGATCGAGGCATTCTATGAGGAAGTGGTAGTCGCAGTGTAGGAGGAGTACCGATGATTTAAGAAGACTTCCACGTATTTGTCGGGGGGAGCACGAATGACAAGAATCATTTACGGACCAACAGGCAAAAGGCAAAAGAAATGAAAGTGGAGATCGTTTTGCAACATCATGAAAGCTACCACCTCCATGTCTTGAACACTGCTTTCCAAACAGCTTTAAAGCGACAGTGGAAATATAGCTCAGAGATGAAGTCTTTGAACTAAATCGACCATGTACTAACGGACAAGAAGCGAATAATATTGATCGTGTCGGTCATAGGCGAGAATATCAACTGTACGGGCTCCTACCGTAGGTAGTTATGGTGTACAGTTGTGATTGATGTCGCAAAAGAAAAAATGCTCAAGAGAACCCAATCCTCGCGTTGCGGAAAACTACAGTTCAGTCTGGAGGCTTTCACAACGAAGATATCATCAATGAACCCTGAAATGAACACCATCTGGGACACAGATGCAGATTATGACCATTTTGTCAATGCGATCAAAATTGGCTTTAGAACATCAAGCAAGACAGCAATGACGACCCAACGCATTGGCCCTTCAGCAAGGTAACTAATGGCTTGAAGAACTGAACTGAAGGCCGACGAGAAAAATGGACAAAGTTAATGAAAGATCGATTAACAGAGGCTTCGGAGGAAATGAAAAGCTTGCAAGTCGTGTGGCGAGGTATTAACTCAAATTAATGGGTTCAGAATGCGCTGGAAAACGAAGCTGGAGAAAATAACTACCAATCGCAATCACATAAACTCCATCTGTACGAAGCTCTGCAACAAGCCGTACTCTTCTAAAATACGTCTGAATCTTAGGGTCCAACAGGCGTCGCATGAAACCAGCGATTCTTCTCAGAAATCAGAAACTTCAGCCGTTTGAACATGAGATCGAAATTCTTCAGTCATGAGCCACGATTCATGACCACAGGTGAGTATGGAGTGAAAGATCGATTTGAACATAGACATGTTCCAATTCATGTACAGTTGTGCCTTTGTTAAAATGGTTCATGACGGTTCATGGAGAACGCCGCTGATCGCTCCAATTGGCTGGTCGACCTCATTTTCCTTTTACTGAACTCTGAAGACGGACCAAGCTTGGTCCAAAACGTTGTCTTCCGTTTGTGACTTACCTAAAGAATATGTTACTGAACTATTACAATTGAACGCGACGAAGAGGTATGTGAGGTTCTTTATGTGTCGCCTTGTTCCTCAATTCATCTGCATAACGCCGCGGGTAGCAGAACGAGAAAGCACTAGGCGTCTCGTTTAAGGCATGTTTTCACGCAAGCAGGCGAAGTCACTCTCTGAAGCTAAAGATCCGTTTCAGAAGGTGCCAGCAAAATAGGATTATCTGCAAACAGCAGACTTTACATCGACATCTCCTATCCTAATGCACTTGTCGCCCTGGCTAGTTCTGACTAATCTATTCAAGTACAACGCAAACAAAAGAGGGAACATAGCGCATCGTTGGAGGAGATCAGTGCCAACGTTGAAAGGTTGCGATTTATTGTTGCTTCCTACATCGCAGCATTTGCCATCAATGAGAAATGACTGAATGGCTCGTAAAAACTGACCATTCATCCCACATATCTCCAGCAACGTTCATAGCTAGTTGGATAGGATTTTGTCAAAGACTTTCCCCTCGTCTAAATGGCACGTTTAAACTGGATGAACAAACTACGAGGATTTCTCAACAATCCGCATGATCCGCCCAGAGATGCTTCAATCGATGAGAAAACAACACTGCTCTTTTTGGATCTTAGAGTCTGCTACTTCATGGTCAGTGCTTTGTATGCAAATAAATGGTATTCACCCCTTATGCGATTCACGAACTAAAGTTAGAATTTTAATTAAAAGGAAGCACGATGAAAACTCCGCCATGGCCGGTCCCAAGCCCGGATGAGAAAGGAGGAGGGTTGGAGACCGTGGCAAGT